AAATCGAGCCAATGATAGTATTTTCAGATGACAAATGGAACGTGAGAAAAAGTCAAAACACGGAGAAGATTCGGCCACGGATGATTCGACACGATGTTGCGCGAGCGAACGAGCGAGTGAACCGCATTTAAACGCACGAACACCAGGCAAGATCGAGCCGTATGAACCAAAAAAAAAAAAAAAAAATAATCCTAACCCCCCTCCCGATTATCTATCTTCCCTACCTGTGTCCTCTAGATCGCCACTGACTACATTTAGAAATACAAAATGAGTTTACCTTTAAAGTTGAGTGCGGCGGTTGGGAAGTGACGAACCGCAGACGAAATTCTACGACTGGAACACGGTTATTGTATTTCACTGAGTTTCGTGTTATCCCCGATATTGTAACGATTTCAGTGAAGAGATCGAATTCACCGCAATGTCTCATAGAAAAAAAAAAAAAGATCGGGAATAGCAAGTAGCACTGTAAAAACTCTTCACCTTGGAACAAAACAACGAGGAACTGTGACAACCGAACTGTCACATTTTTGCCGGGAGAGGGCGCGATGCGCAAAGTATATATACCAGTATTTCTAATGAAACTATGGTACGTCATATGATAAAATCGATCACTCGTGTAATTAAGGAATGATCATATGATAAATGCGTGTTAAAATTCCATAAAATTAGAATACAGAAATACATTTTACTACAGTGCACTTTTAAGAAATGTGTCGTGACGTCACGAGCTACATGCGCCAAACAGTCCACGTTGGTTCCGCCAGCTAAGTGGTTCGCTGCGACACGAGGGGGTTGGACTTTTGGACTCTTGGACTTTTGGACTTTTGGACTTTTGGACTTTTGGACTTTTGGACTTTTGGACTTTTAGACTTTTCCTCATTTAACTAGAACAGGTTCGCTTCTGCAAATCAATTTTGATGACAATATATGTAGTTATTTCATCAACTATGATCTTCAATTTTCTCCTAATCGATGCTTATAAAGAGAAAGGATATATTTCAGTTTCTGATTCATGCATGCAGTAATACATATTATATCATTCGTATTTTTTATTAGTGCATTTTAATTCATTTCATCATATGATTCACACACACACACACACACACACCACACACACACACACACACACACACACACACACACACACACACACACAATATATATAATATATATATTATATATATATATATATATATATAATATATATATATATATATATTATACATATATGTATATATCCAAAATGAACATTTTCGTTATCAGTTTTTTTCAGACTCACAACCAACTCTGCCATCAGCTTCTCTTCAATTACTCTGATCGATATGAAAAAAGTCTTGCTGCCAATACGATGTTATCTCAAGTATTAGGTATTAGTGTCAAGATAACAAGGATAACGTTGTATTTTTCATTAAGTATTGGGACCAATGCGTGCAAGCGTGGTGAATATTTTTTTTTTTTATCGAGGTCAAAGCTAAAGATAATTAGTTTAATAATTTTTTTATATATGTGAAGTCAGAAAGTCATTCATTATTAGCATATGTTTATTAATGTTGTTATCTTCTATCATAATCCTATCCTACATACTTTCTATTATCTATCTAATATAGTTTCTGACTCTCATCTCTCTCTCTCTCAGTGAGACGAGATATTAATAATTTTCAAATCACTGATAGAGATCGCCATACTATATCCTATGGAAATGTGATGGACCCAACGTATTCATATTTATAATAATTTCTGATAGAATAAGGAATCATTCTCCTCGTATTTTGCTATTGAGAAATTTTATCATAAACCTTTGCATAAAAAAAGAGTTGTATTACACAGAGAAATCACAATGGAGGCATCTCTCTTCATGGATACACGGGTATGTATATACGTCCCCAAGTGTACATATATGTGTATGAGAGAGAGAGAGAGAGAGAGAGAAGGAGAGAGAGAGAGAGAGAGAAGGAGAGAGAGAGAGAGAGAGAGAGAGAGAGAGAGAGAGAGAGAGAGAGAGAGAGAGAGAGAGAGAGAGAGAGAGAAGAGAGAGAGAGAGAGAGAGAGAGAGAGAGGAGGGAAAAAAGAAGAAAAAAAAGAAAAAGAGGAGGAGGAGGGAGATGATGATGAAGATGAAGGCACAATTCCATATTTTTACATGTCTTCTTTGTTTACATGTGTGGTTAGATACGAACCATGGAATATTTAAGTTAATCTTACCTTTTTTTCCTTCTTGTTTTAACTCTCAAGTGTCTTTTTCTTAAAGTGAGAGAGTTAGCGTGGCTGTTTTAACCCCATGACTGTGTCGTAAAGAGCTTGTTAAATATGTTAGTCACTCTCAATGATAACACGCTTGGCTAGTTGGTACCCGCACTGTTGTTCAGATTAATGTCACTTTTAAAGAGATTGTTATTTATTGGATCTGGTGATATCATGTGTGGAGATTAACGTTAAATAATGCATATTTGGAGGGTTTATTTTCAAGGTTGGGACGTGTGATTACGCAATATGTATAGTATAATGGGAAAAAGAGAATGTAAGCCTTATTCATGTCGTGGATAGAGGCAGTTTTAGAATGTCACGGACTGTTTCCACTGGTATAAATGTGTTGCTTCCTTTTGTTTAGTTTTTTCTTCTTTATACACACACACACACACACAAACACAAACACACACACACACACACACACACACACACACACACACACACACACACACACACACACACACACGACACACACATATATATATATATTTTTTCTTTCTTTCTTTCTTTCTTTCTTCTTTTCTTTGTCTACTGCTCCTTAAAATGATATCAAATCAGGGATCTAGTAATCTATCTCTCAAATGGGAGTTTTATATCATAATCAACTACTTCCTATATCTTACCAAGATCTCGAAATACATTATTCCTTGTGTAGTTTGTATAAACATACGTCACGCACTTGGTTACACTTAAGACGATCCACTTATGAACGTGACAAGGATTTATGACGTAAGAGTAACACGAATGCGTCTCCGTGAACGTACTGAGTGTTAAAAATAACCATGACAGGAAAAGAGCTGAACAGGTTTGAACACAGGGAAATGACTGAATTGGCTTGAACACAGGGAAATAATTGAACTGGTTTGAACACAAGGAAAACAACTGACTTGGTTTTAACTACTCACTTGATAAACATAGGAAAATAAAATGTTTGAATACAGGGAAAGAACTGACATGATTTTAACTACTCACTTGATAAACATAGGAAAAATTAAAATGTTTTTGAACACAGGAAATGACTGAACTGGCTTGAACACAGGGAAAAAAATGTTTTTGAACACAGGGAAATGACTGAACTGGCTTGAAACTGTTTTGAACACAGGAAAAATGAACTGGCTCAAACACAGGAAAAAATAACTGAATGTTTTGAAAAGTGATATAATTGAATTGGTTGAACACAGGAAAAGAACTAAATTGGTTTGAACGCAAGGAAATAATTGAACTGGTTTGAACACAAGGAAATAATTGAACTGGTTTGAACACAAGGAAATAATTGAACTGGTTTGAACACAAGGAAATAATTGAACTGGTTTGAACACAAGGAAATAATTGAACTGGTTTGAACACAAGGAAATAATTGAACTGGTTGAACACAGGGAAATAATGAACAGGTTTGAACACAGGGAAATAATTGAACTGGTTTGAACACAAGGAAATAATTGAATGGTTGAACACGAAATAATGAACAGGTTTTGAACACAAGGAAATAATTGAACTGGTTTGAACACAAGGAAATAATTGAACTGGTTTGAACACAAGGAAATAATTGAAACTGGTTTGAACACAAGGAAATAATTGAACTGGTTTGAACACAAGGAAATAATTGAATGGCTTGAACACAGGGAAATAGAACAGGTTTGAACACAGGGAAATAATTGAATTGGTTGAACACGTAACTGAACAGGTTTGAACACAAGGAAATAATTGAACTTGAACTAATGAACAGGTTTGAACACAAGGAAATAATTGAACTTGAACACAGGAAATAATGAACAGGTTTGAACACAAGGAAATAATTGAATTGGCTTGAACACAGGGAAATAACTTTTGAACACAAGGAAATAATTGAACTGGTTGAACACAGGGAAAAGTTTTGAACACAGGAAAAAATGAACTGGTTTAAACACAGAACTGAATGTTTTGAAAAGGAAATAATTGAATTGGTTTGAACACAGGAAAAGAACTAAGTTGGTTTGAACACAAGGAAATAATTGAACTGGTTTGAACACAAGGAAATAATTGAATTGGTTTGATCACAAGAAAAAAATTAATTGGTTTGAACACAGAAAAAGAACTGAGTTGGTTTGAACACAGGGAAAGAATTGAAATGTTTTGAACACAAGGAATAATTGAATTGGTTTGATCACAAGAAAAAAGACTGAATTGGCTTGAACACAGGAAAAAAATGACTGGTTTGAGGTCAGGAAAAAAAGAAAAAAACTGAAAAAATACCATAACTTAGAATTCAGTTAAATGACATGTTATTTATCTATTCCCGGAATTTGTCTGACTCTCAATAACAGTTTTATTACATGAATGCCATTACAATTTAATAATCATAATCTTTGGTAAAAAATGTCAAAATTAACTTATCCACTTTCCTGATTTATTATTACACTCATAAGTCTTGTTTGGTTCCGGGATATAAAAACAAAAATGTGTTAGGGAAAAAACACAACTTTATTTAACACAACTAAAACACAATAAAAATAATAAAAAAATTTCAATAAAACATTAAAACACAGCCTTGTAGTCATGCCAGAGAATATATGTATCATTTTAATACACATCTAAATTATTATCTATTTCTACCTTTCTTCATTTGTCGTTAATCATCGTCGTACAAAAATTGGAAGAGAGAGAGAGAGAGAGAGAGAGAGAGAGAGAGAGAGAGAGAGAGAGAGAGAGAGAGAGAGAGAGAGAGAGAGAGAGAGAGAGAGAGACAGAAAGAGAGGAGAGAAGGAGAGAAGGAGAGAGAGAGAGAGAGCGAGAGAAAGACAGAAAGACAGAGAAAGAGAGACAGAAGAACAGCTGTTTTGATCACGATTACGCGACCCGGATCTTAAACCTCTATGGGGTTGGATAACACGTCAGTCCAGTAGGTGCCGTAGCTCTTGACGATCGTGGCTCTGCAATGGGGAAGGGGGGGGGAGTTAGTATTGTCTTTGTTTTTTTTTGTTTTACAACTCTGTATACTTCATTATTTCCTTTCGTATCGCTCTATCTCTCTCTGTCTTTCTTCTTTCTCTCTCTCTCTCTCTCTCTCTCTCTCTCTCTCTCTCTCTCTCTCTCTCATTATATATATACATATATATATACATATATATATACATATATATATATATATATATA